AGAGGCCAGTGGGTGGAAAGTCTTAGGGATCCAGTGGCAGTGGAAGGATTTCAGTGCTGGCATGGATCTCCACGTGGCTCCTTCTGGTCCAGGGCTCTAGTATAGGTTCGAGTGTCTTCCCAGCTGGTATGTCTCCCAGGGAGTGAGCCAGTGTTCTGCCTCCAGAGAGCTATTTATTTCCTTAGCGCCTCCAAATGAGGTCATCAAGCTGTGACCTGATTGACAGACTAAACTCCACCCCCTTCGCTCTTAAGTCTCAAGTTGACAACAGATTATGTAACTACCACACATTTCATCACATTTTCCTTGTGCCTTAGCTATTCTATGATAAAGAGCCAGCTTCAGAGTCTCTTTTGACATCCACATGGATCTTTTCTTTCTTTTCAATGACCCTTGCTTTCTTCATGTCTGATGTGCTTGATGTCATCCCACAAGCCATCAAGTTTTCTGTCATTATTGTTCAATGAGTCAAATCTGTTCTTGAAACAGATTTGAGATAGACTCAAGGACATATTTTGGCTCTCATGAACTTTTTGAATTTTCTTCAGCTTCAACCTGAGCTTACTTCCTCAAGGACTGTAGGTCGCAGTTGTCTAAGCCATTTTCTAGCTTTATAGTCACTTCTTGGTATCCTCATTTCCTTATGACTTTTATGAAAATTTATAGGTTGATTGCTTCTAATCCACATCTCACGCCAGACCTCTCTGTTGGGCTTATCTTGACTCAAATGTTTGTTTTGGTACTTTTGTTACTTTTTAAATGCATCAGATCTGGACTTGGGATCTTCCCTTCCAAGTCCTACTTTACCACAGTGTTCCTTATCAAACGAAATGACAACTCCCTACACCAATTCACTATCGAAAATGTCAACTTATCGAAAATGTTAGAATTATTCTTAACTCTTCCTCCCCCCCCCCACATTAAAGTATTAACTGAATATTACTGATCCTATCAAATCTATTTACCCAGGTCTACTTTGGGGGGATCATACTACTTTATTAGGACATACTCTAGACATCATCCCATTCAATAGTTCAATCGTACCAAGAAGTGTTGTACGATCACCACCACAGTTACAAAACATTTTCTTCCTTTTTGTATTCCTTGATATTAGCTCCTCCTTACCCACTACTTCCACTGCCATTCCCTCCCCTCCCCCCAGGAACCCTCAATCTAGTGGTCTTTATAGATCCACCCATCCTGGGTTCCTTATGCCTACTTTGAACAGCTCTTCTCTGGCCTTAATACTCATCTTTCCAATTGAGTCCCCATCATAGAGGTAGAATTATTTTTCTTTAACATGTGTATGTGGTCTCGTCATCACTCCACTGAAGACCTTTCAGTGACTCCCTGCTGCACTAAGAATAAATTCCACACTCATTGAAACATTTTACAGAACCCTTTAGGACAAAGCCCTGTTTACCTCTTCAACTTCACACAACAACCGGCCCAAATGTCAAAATTTCCAGGGTTGAAAACCTCTGTCCTAGAGGTTGGGCTTTACAGAAAGAAGGAGTAAGTCAGGAGGGTGGAATTTAAAGAAACCCTGCTGATGAGATCAAGGACTGAAATCTTCACTATGGATTACAACTCACTATAAAGCAGAGAAAAAAAGCCTCACAACTGGATGAATAGATAACATCATGATAAACAGAGAAAAGATTGAAATTATCAAAAGATTTCACCTTGCTTGGATTCACAAACAATGCTCATGGAAGCAGCAAACATCCCTTCCCCCCAAAAAAACAAAGAACATATTTCATTAGATAAATCTACTGCACAAGCCTTCTTTAAAGTCTTGAAGCGCAAGGATGTCACTTTGAGGACTAAGGTGCATCTGGCCGGAGCCAGGATATTTTAAATTGCCTCATATGAATGTGAAAGTTGGACAATGAATTGGGAAGAATGGAGAGGAATTGATGCATGTGAACTATGGCATTAATTTAGAATATTGGATTTACCATGAACTACCAGAAGAACAAACAAAAATGTGCTGAAAGAAGTATAGCTAGACTGCTCCTTAGAGGCAAGGATAGGTAGACCTTATCTCACATACTTTGGACATGAAAATGTTTATGGGGACTGATAGCATCAACTTCTCCCTGCAGACTAGCTGGTAGTTTTGAACACTCCATTATGAGGTTAGCCATCCAATACTACTTGACATCGCCATCAAGGAGTTTTAATCTGATTGATTTAGAGACAAATGTTTATATAAGTGGAGTAATTCTAAAAGTCATAGAAATTGAATAAATATAAAATGCTTACACTGTTTTAAAAGAGCAGTATTTTATAAACAGTTGCTCCCCACCAAATTTTTAAAATGAAAATTCACATAATGCATATAAATCTTTGGCAAACTAAACTAGTAATTTTGTTTTAAAAAAACAACAACAGTGCTTTCCCCTTAGATACATAAATGGATTTTGAGTTTACACTTAATCATAAACCCTAACCCAAGAACAATCAGTTATTAAGATGCGGCCCCGCTCAATGCTTGCTCGCATGAAGGTAACACTGCTATAACAGTGTGGTGAAGAAATCAGACAGTGCCTGGCTATCAGAAATGAATCCTGTCTGGGGTCTTAAAACAAGCAGCTATCTAAGTGAATTGTCAGCTAAGCGCACATAGAAGTACTTCAGCTTGTGTGATCCAAGGATTTTTAAATAACAAAATCCAAGCTCAGAGGAGGGAAATTTATTAGAGTTTAAATTTCTGAACACTTGGTTTACAGAAAGCTATGGAAGACAGTGAAAGCCCCAAATCCATTTTCAGAGACCCCATGGGGATTAAGCCTCTACTGAATTCCTCCTGACCATTGATTTGGATACGAAAAGTCTTGCCTTCTGATATAGTGCATTAGAAAATGAATTAATACAGATATAGCTTGATTAAAACTTATCTCCTTTCTCTTTCAACTCATTCTTAATTTGTTCTGGCTTTTATTTGTTTTCTTTGGATTGAAACTTTTCTGTGTTATATTTGTTATTGTTGGTGGGGTTTTGATGTATGATTTCCTTTATATGAAATCCAGGATAGGCAAATCTATAGAGACAGTAACTAGATTAATAGTTTCTTAGGGTTCTAACAGGGAGGGTTGACAGGAAAGGAAGGGGGGACCTAATTAGTACAAAAATAAAGACAATGTTCTCCAATTGAATGTGATCTCTGCTCACTTTTTAATATATTCAAACCATTGAATGGTATGGTATGTGAATTTTACCAATAAAACTTTCAAAAGCAGCATTTTTCTTCTGAGTGACCTTGTTAGATATGTATGCTGTATCCTACTTGGGTATGCTTTTCCTTACATTTACTAAGAAAACAAGCTACCATCACTTTTACTAAAATTTTAAATTATGAAAAATATATACTTGTGTTTCAACAAATAGTATCATAATGTCGACAAGATTTAGTTCAGCAGTAATTATATTTTATGACTTTGAAATGTCTTTCTGTGCATTTGGATTTCTTCCCAGTCTAGACTCTGAGCACTCAATAAGTTTTACTTTTGTGAGTTTTCACTCTAGGACAGGATCCAGTTTCCTGTTGGCTCCAGGGGACAGTCCTGTGTCTCAGTTTCTTCAAATTACTCTTCTTGGGTCTAGAGAGTCTCAGTATAGGGACCCTGGGTCTTCTCTCCTCGTGTCTTGTCTGCATGGCATTTATGGATCTCTCTTTGATGCCTGTTTTGTTGATGCTCTAGCTGCACTAGATAATTGGGTGAGCATGCCTAGCAGGGTTCAGTTACCTGAAGACTAGCCAATGGTTGCTATTCTCCTCCCTCATCTTCTCATTAAAACGATTATATATTGAACTTTCCTTTTTTTTTTTTAAAGAAACAAAATGGTCTCCTGATGCAAACAGAGTAACTGCTGGAAAAAACGTTCGTTTTTAAATCTTTATGTTTTGTGTTTTAACTTTGAATCCCTTTCAGCAGCTGACTGGTCGGTCCCACAGCCATATGTTAAGTCGTTCGTCTTGTTCCAAGAAGGCCTGATAAATGAATAGGCAATGAAAGCATCATCCGACTTAAAGCGACGGAACGTACACTAAAAGTTGAGTTAATGTTTCACATGATTCAAACCGATTGCATAATGAACCAACTCCATCATGAAGTTTATCTGGCTAGGCTAAGACTAAATCTTCCGGCAAAGTCATTGTGTTAGACCCCCAGATCGGATGCTCTGCATAAGACAAGGCGTGGTGCGCCCATTTTGTGATCAGCGCCTGTGTCTGGAAGGTGAGCGTCAGAATGCCGGTTAACAGAACAAAGTGTTCTTGCCTTGAGGGAGTTCTAGAGTAGAGGCCCAATGTGTGTCTGCTACTTTAATACTTAACTACTTTAATACTTAACATATAAATACATGTACATCGGTCTATGTCCCGGTCGTCACATATATTTACATATGTACATGTATTCAGACTTCTAGTTCATTCCTCTATTTCCTTTTACTTTCCTCTGTCCCATTATCATGTTGCACCTTCATTCAGGTTTCAGCAATGCCTCTCGGCTACATTGCACTTGATCAAGCCCCACCAGGAATCCTATGCCCTCCTTGCCATGGATTTTAGACCACGTGTTCCCTTGTCCCTGGGTTTGTTGGCACCCCCTCTCTCCCCTGTCCCCCTGGAACCTTCAGTCCCCTCAATAAAATGATGTTTTAAACCCCCCCAAACACAAAAACAGCCCCCAAAGGTAAGGCAATGTGTATTATTCGGTCTCCACGGTAGCCATCCCGTCGTCGTCACGTCACTGCTTTGAGAGCGTCACACCACCCACCCTTCCGACAGGACAAACATTTCCACTTGTGTCTTTTTTTGGTCTCAATCGGCGGCGGCAATTTCCTCTGACCACCATTTTTTCTCTCAACCCCTCCCTGGTCTGCGGCCTGTCGCCCCCGCGCCCCCTCGGCGCCTGGACGTCTCTTCGGAGGCCAGCTCCATCCCTGGAGAGACCCAGTCCGGGTTTGCCCTCGCGGGAAGCGTCGCTCCTCACCCTCCGCACGGGAGGCGAACCCGTGCTCCGTCCATCGGTCCACAGCTGCACAGCCCCCGACTTCTCCCTCGCAGACCGCGGCCACGCGAGCACCGCGGAGCCGCGACCCCTCTGCGCCGCGACGCCCGAGGAGCGGGTCCTCCCCCGGAGTTTTCGGCCCGCCCACTTCCCGTGGCTCCTGGACAGTGATTGGCTCCCGCCTCACGTCACTCCGGGCCGGGGAGCCTCGCCATTGGTGCGCTCCCCCGCACGGATTGGAGCCCTTTGGGGGTTCGGCGCCGCCGGCTTGCCTCCGGCGGTTTGCCGTTCGCCTGTGATGGCGGCCGCCTCGGCTGCGGGGGGGGTGCCTGCCCCTGCAGCCCCCGTCCCGGGTGCGGACGGCCATGGCGAGTCTCCGGAAGACGCTGGAGGAGGACGCGGGTCCGCGGACGAAGAGACGGGCGCGCAGGACTCTGGGGTCACCGAGGGCTATGACGAGGACGTGTTCGAGGTGGAGAAGATCCTGGACATGACGACCGAGGGGGTAGGTGCGAGGCGTGGGAGACGGGCGGGCATGGGGGTGACACCGGCCGGCCCCCCTCGGGCGGTGGAGAACCGCAGGGGGCTGGGCGGGTGGAGCTGGAGAGGCCGGGAGGGTGAACGTGGAGGTGTCCGTTGCCCTTCAAAGGGATTCGTTTTGACCCTTCCTGTCTGGAGGGCTTGGTGGAGGAGCCCCCTGGAATGGGCCAGCTGGAAAATTAGTACACGTGCATTTCCCAACCATAAGCAGGGCGAAGGCCCAGTCACAGCTCGGCGGATGGCCGCCCGGCCAGGGGACACGTGCAATGGCTCTTCCAAATGGACCCTGGGCTGTGTCTGTGAAGGTACGCGTCCGGCAGTTTTAAAGGATGTTTTGGCGGAAGGGGTGAAGTCGTTTGCAGTGGGGTCTGCGAGGATCCGAAGCGTGCTGATAACCAGCGAAGGGTTTCCTTGGTCGTCCAAGTATGGATCACAAGCCAGTGGCCCTGCTGTGTACTGGGAAGGGGTGACGCCGAAAACAACGCGTCTTCTTCTCACAGCTTCTTCTCACAACTTGGTGACCACACCATCGTTCCCGCCCCCCCGCCCCACTGTGATCTGTTCTCTGGCTTAAAATCCTCAGGAATTCCCTTTCAACTGCAGCATAAAGTCTGGGTGGCGTTTAAGAGCTTTCAGAATCCGAGCTGTATCTCTCAACCTTGGCATGAAATGATCCCAGCCACACACTCTATCTGTACTTTCTCATCACGCTGACCAGCACTTGACCAGGCCTGTTCTCCTCCCTCTGCGGCCTCCCAAAGCCAAAATGACCCCGATCGCTGCAGAACGAAGGGCTTCTTCATCAGTGCCGTCTCACACTGGGTCTAGACCCCTGTTTTAGCATTTGCAGCATTATGCTTCTTTATATGCTTGTCATAGCAGCCTTGGTGGCTTACTTGTTATGAGTTGGCCATCGATCTGAAAGGTCAGCAGTTCGAAACTACCAGCTCCTCCTCTGGAGAATGCCAGGGCTTTCAGTCTCGGAAACCCACGGGGCAGGTCTACCTTGTACTATCAATTGGCATTGACTCGATGGCAGTGAGTTAGGCTTTTTGGCTTATTGTGCATTAGGTTCAGTGGTATAGAGAGCATTAGGGCCCGAGGATATACAGAGCATTGAAGTTTGCACAGCTGTTGACATTGAGAAGGTCTTTGGAGTAGGGGATAGTTAAAATGCAATGCCATTCATATTGTGGTTGGGTACAATACAATGAAGACTGAAATATTTTTCCGTGTAGTCTTCCCAAATTTATTACTAGCACTTTGAGGTGAGAGGAGGATCTCACTATTGTTTTGTATTGCCTGCATTTAACATAATGCTTGGCACATAGAAGAGACTTAGAAAATAATTTGGTTAGGAGTATAGTACTTTCCAGGTTAAGATTATTCTCCCACTCATAGAATGTTTGTCAATCCTACAGAACTAGAAGCACTGTACTTATAGCCTCATGTTTTAGTCAAAAGTGGATGCAAATGAGATGCAACTGCTTAATGTGTTAAGCAGTAAAGGAAACCAACTTTAGGAATCTAAAATTGAGTACAAATTATCATTCTCAAAGTCTTGGAGTTTTCAGGGCATTTGTGAATAAATGTCTGATGAAAGTTGATTTTCAGTTGAACAGCACTCTGACAAACCTAAAAAACTGACCAACAAACCAAACCTGTTGCCCTTGAATCTGTCTGATTGGTGACTTCCCTGTGAATTACAGAGGAGACCTACTCCATAGGGTTCTCTTTACAGAAGCAGATCACCAACCCTTTCTGTGGTGCCTTGGGTGGGTTCCAACCACCAGTCTCTAGGTTAGTAGTCAGAGACAACAGTTGGTGCCACTAGTGACCACAGGACTATAGCAGCATTTGTAGATGAAGTGGTAAAGGAGTATGGCAGTAGCTATTGCTCTGTCTATTGGAACCTTGGTGGCTTAGTGGGTTATACGTTGGTTGGGCTGCTAACCACAAGGTCAGCAGTTCAAAGCCAGCAACTGCTCTACTGGAGAAAGACGAGGCTTTCTACTCCTCTAAAGAGTTATGGTCTTAGAGCCCCACAAGGGCGTTCTACCCTGTTCTGTAGTAGGGTCACCCACTGAGTTAGAACTGACTCAATGGTAGTGAGTTTGGTTTGGGTTTACTCTATCTGTTAATGCTGCTCGATAGCCAGCTAATGTGTCAAATTAGCCATTCAGAAACAATAAACGTCATGGTAGGAGTTGGTTAGGCTTCTTTAAAGCCTGGAATTTAGTCCAAAATATCATCGACTCCCTGTTGGTTAATTTATTCATAAGATTTCTTGGTTATCATCTGTATGAGGGCGTCAGAAAGTTTGTGGAGCTGTTCCACTATCTTTTAATTCCATTTTCCATGAACTTTTTGTCCTCACATATGTAAATAATGGCTTACCCAACCCAGTACTTTCGAGTCAATTCCAATTGTTAGTAACCCTGTAGGGCAGAGGAGAACTGCCCTTGTAAGTTTCCAAGACTAAATCTTTCTAGGGTCAGACACCCTCATCTTTTCCCTCAGAATGACTCATGGATTGGAACTGCCAACCTTGCAGTTAGCAGCCCAGTGCGTAATCCCCGATGCCACCAATCAATCAAACTCAGCCAAGCTCACTGCTGTCACGTCCATTCTGATGCACAACAAACCTATAGGACAGGGGAGAGCTGCCCTGTGGGTTTCTGAGAGTGTAACTCTTTATGGAAATAGAAAGCCTTGTCTTTTCCCACTCTGGCACCAGGGCTCCTTAAGCACCTGACCTAAACACTCTACAAATATATTCAGACACCGTTCTACACTATACATTATTACTTATCATTTGTTTCGGGTAGCAAAAATTGAAATTGTAGTATAAAACCTAGAAAGATGTGTCACAAAATGTTTTGAACTGTGCTGGTATATTATGGGAGCTTGTTGCCAGGAGAGGGCGCCCTGGTACAGAGTGCTGGAAATAGACTGGACATTTAGAGAGAATGAGGGATTTGGGAATTGCCTTAATTAGCAAAACGACCATGAGAGAATTTGGGCAAAACCCAAACCAGTTGCTGGCGGTGTTGATTCCGACTGACGGAGGCCGCATGGGTGATAGAGTAGAACTGCCCTCTTAGGGTTTTCATGGCCGTGACCCTTTGAACGCCGGTTGCCACACCTTTGTTTTGGGGTTCAAACTGCCAACTTCTCAGTTGGTAGCAATGTGCTTAACCGTTGGTGCCACCCAGGGTTGCCTTGAGTAGGCCAAGAGGCTAGCATTCCAGAAGAACGGATTGAGGAAAGTCAGAGGTCTCAAACTGACACCTCCTTGCCTTTAGCCTTGTTGCTGCTGTTGTTGTTGTTGTTGTTTTTGGCACCCGCAGTCCTGTTTTGTTTTGACTTGAAATCAGTTGCTGAAATTTAAATATCAAGAGATTTCCCACGTACTCTGTAATTGAGACTTCCCTTAGAATGTTGGGGGGCAGGGGCAGCAAAGAGTTCCCTGGTATCATCCACTTTGTTACAGCCCCCACCTCCTTACAGCCCCCTCACTGTTCCTTTCCTGGTTGTCTGACTCCCCGCCCATTTGATTCATTGACTTAACTTCTGGAGAGAGCAGAAGTCTAGAGGGAGACAGGTGCGAGGATGTCCGAGTCGTGTGTCTGGCTGGTATCCCAGCACTGGAGGAAGGGGAATCTTGTAGTGAGCGATTAATTTGGGACTTTGAATGTAGGACTGGGGAAGGACTTGTTTTAGTGGATAAAATGGTTACCCTTCTTCCCACCCACCCCTCCCTTTATTCCCCCAACCTTTTCTAGTCAAAATTAGAAAACTGCAGTAGAGCAAATGAAAGGCAAAGACTATCTGTAATCTCACACATAGACACATGGTCGATTTCCTGTCCAGAGAAGGGCCTGCTGACATTTCTGATGAATTCAGGTTTGGGGGAGTAATATTAACACTGATTCTAAATTTTAGTTTATTGTTAGGAGTGATTTAAAAAAACATTTTCAGTAAAAACCAATGAACTTTACAAATAACATTTCAGAATATGATAGATGCCATGGGTTTGGGCTTCAAATTTGAATCAGAGCCTCTCCAACATAAAAACTGGAAAATTTCCCTATTATTTATGGGCATGAGATATTTATTTATTGATAAATCATTTTATTCGGGCTCCTACAGCTCTTATCTCAATCCATACTTACATCCATTGTGTCAAGCACATTTGTACATATGTTGCTATCATTTCAAACATGTTCTTTCTACTTGAGCCCTTGGTATCAGTTCATCACCCCCTCCCTCATGAACCCTTGATAATTTATAAATTTTTATTTTTTTCACATCTTACCCCAACCGCTGTCTCCTTCACCCACTTTTCTGTTGTCCATCCCCCTGGGAAGGGGTTATATGTCAATCATTGTGATGGGTTCCACCTTTCTCACCCCACCTTCCCCTTCCCCTCCTGATATCGCTACTCTCATTGTTGGTCCTGAGGGGTTTATCAGTCTTGGATTCCCTGTGTTGCAAGCTCTTATCTGTATCCATGTACATGCTCTGGTCTAGCTGGATATGTAAGGCAGACTTGGGGTCATGATAGCAGGGAGGGGAGGAAGCATTAAAGAACTAGAGGAAAGTTGTATGTTTTATCGGTGCTATACTGCACCCTGACTGGCTCGTCTATTCCTTGTGACCCTTCTGTGAGGGGATGTCCAATTGTCTACAGATGGGCTTTGGGTCCCAACCCTGTTCTCCCCCTCATTCATATCAATATAACTTTTTGTTCTGGGTCTTTGAGGCCTGATACCTGATCCCATCGACACCTCACGATCACATAGCAGGCTGGTGTGCTTCTACAATGTGGGCTTTGTTGCTTTTGAGCTAGATGTCCGCTTGTTTAACTTGAAGCCTTTAAGACCCCAGATGTTGTATCTTTTGATAGCCAGGCACCATCAACTTTCTTCACTGCATTCGCTTATGCACCACTTTGTCTTCAGCAATCGTGTCAGGAAGGTGAGCATCACAGAAGGGTATGAGATTTGATCAGGATATAAATTGCATTAAAAACATTGAACAACTTAATAAATTCTCACAGTCACCACCTGTGTGATCACCAGTCACATGAGGTAGCATTACACTGACAGCCCCCAGGCCCACTTGTGTCCCTTTCCAGTCACTGCCCTTTTGGTCCCCCAGATAACTGTGCTGACTTCAGGAAGTCAGCACAGTGAATAACATTGATGTGGCCCCAGTGTGTTGTGTGCATTTATTTCTCCATTCCCACTGGCAGTGTGAAGGATTCCAGTTTCTCCACCACCTCGCCAATACTTGTTATTTTGTATTTTATTTTTGCCACCAAATTGCCAGTATCCTAAAAGGTGTCAGAGGACATTCGTGGCTCCGTGGTAGGAATCTCACCTTGCTTGAAGGAGCTTCAGGTCTGACCCCCAGTCAGTGCAACCGCCTTATGTACAGTCACCACCTAGGATGTAATGATGCTGAACAGGTTTCGGCAGAGCTTCTAGAGCAGAATGGACGATCTACTTCTAACAATCAGCCAATGAAACCTTGCAAGGCCAGTGAAAAAGAAGAAGCCGGTCAAGGAGATTGATTGACACAGTAGCTGCAGAAAGGGTTGAAACATAGCAGCCCTTGTGAGGATGGTGCAAGATCAGGCACTGTTTTGCTCTATTGCACATCGGGTTGCGATTCGTCTGAATTGGCTCCACAGCACCTGACAGCAACAGCAACTTTTCTATCTGCCACTGACCCTGAGTAGAGTGCAGGACTGGGCAGTGCCTTGTGCCACTGTGCAGTGAGTTTTGGGGTATGTGCTACTTTGTAATTTGGGGCTACACAGAATTCCTATTAAAGGACTTTCTATTTCAAGGCTTCCACCTGTCCTGGGTACTGCTGTGCCTTAGGCCTTAAAACAGTTTCTGACACGTGAGTGCCAGAACTGCAGGAATAAAGGGTAAATAGAACTGTTAATGGTTAAACCTGGAGCCAGAATCGAGATGCATGCTTAATTCTTGGCCACCGGTTTCTGGTTGTGCTTTTCATCACCAATGAAGTTATCAGAGCTATGTATAATAATATCTCATTCAGATTCCTGACTTGTGCAGAGTTTATCATACTGGCTGTATCATATTTTCTCTACATCTTAATTTTTTCCAACTCGCCGCTAAGTGGGGTGCTTTAACACCCGTGTTAAGTAATTAACAATTTGCCACCCCTCTTACACATAAAAACGTGACCAAAACTATTCCTGAAAAAACGAGCATCTTCGTACACTCGAAGATGGAGCCTTCAGCCCTCATAGGCAGCTTCTACCTGGACAGGCCGACCTTTTCCAGACAGGACATTGCATTCTGTCAGCCAGACTTTTCTCTCCTCTCCAATTTGTGGGCTTAAACACCCATACTGTGTCTCCTTTAGTTCTCCATTTGCACGTCATCTTCACCTAAGCGCTCACAGTATTGTGTCAAGTATTTGTTTTCTATTTAAACACTTGTTTTCATAGCTGATATAACCATTGTCTAGCCCAGTTATGTAGCTGAATTATGACACTTTAAAACTTGAGATTGTTTTTCAAGATCATCTTTAGAAAAGTTTAAAACCCCTCATTTTCCATTAATTTCTCAGTTTCCAGCCTGTTAAAGGAGCCTTGGTAGCACAGGGGTTAAGTGGTTGGCCATGAACCAAAGGTTGGTGCTTCGAACCTACCTCCTTGCTTCATAGACGGAAGACCTGCCAGTCTGCTTTCTCAGGGCCACAGTCAGGCAAACCCTAGTATTTCTAGTCTGCCCCCTGGGGTCACGTTGAGTTGGAATCTACAGCACCTCTAATAACTCACAAACTCACTGCCATTCTTCAAAAGAAACCAGATGAGTGGCTTCACAATAATTCTATGTGTTACATAATAGCATATCAGGATCAAATCCCTGCTCTTGAAAGGGCTGTGTAGTAAACATTTTAGGCTGTGTGGGTTATGAGACAAAATTGAGGTTCAAAGTTAGTGTTCCCGGTCATTCCAAAAACCCAAACTAAACTCACCATCATCTAGCCCAGTGGTTCGCCACGTTCCTAAGGCCGCGACCCTTTCATACAGTCCTCGCCTTGTGGTGACCCCTCAACCATAACATTATTTTCGTTGCTACTTCATAACTGTAACTTTGTTACTGTTATAGATCGGGTGACCCCCAAAGGGGTCGCGACCCACAGGTTGAGAACCGCTGATCTAGTCGATTCCGGTGAATAGTGACCCTAGAGGACAGAGTAGAACTGCCTCTGTGGGTTTCCCAGACAGTGACTCTTTACAGGAGTTGACAGCCTCAGTTTTGTCCTGTTGAGCAGGTGGTGGTTTCAAACTGCTGACCTTGAGGTTAACAGCCCAACACATAACCACCATGCCAAAGGCTTCCTTTGCTTGTCTTAAAACTCAGTGATATTTTTGCCTTGGAGAATTTATCAAATCTGTTGTTTGCTTCTGTCTTCCGGCACTTAGAGCCTGTTCTCCTACTGTTAGGTAGGTTTTCACGTGGGGAAGCAGAGGCTCAGGGGTAAGACTTCTGGGTTTGAATTTCAGCTGAACTATTCAATGACTATGTGACCTTTGACTTAACCCCTCAAGGAGCTCCAGTCACCCCACGTTCGAGCATTACAGGGTGACAGTACTTCCTTCACAGGGCATTTTAAAGATTAAAGGAGCAAAGATGTAGACATTTTAAAGCACTTGATAGAAATGCCATTCTTTTGATGTATGTCCAGCCACTTCAAGCTTAGCTTGCAGGGTGAGCAGAGACAGGGGCCCTACTATAACTTGTTGAGCTCTCATTCATGGACAGACAGTTGGACCCTAGTACCTGGAGGGACTATAAAGGGGAACGTCTTTCCTGGAAAGCATTTTGTTCTAAGAAAGTATATAAGTGACTATATTCTCTGACCTTACTGATCTCTTCTTGGATAATTGATTATAACCAATTAATCAGAGTTGCACAAGGATTTTATTACTTTATTGGTGAAATTAAAAATATGGGAAACAACAAGACAAAAGTGGACTTGTTTGAAAATGCTTGTTTTTACATAATGAAATCATCTTTAGTGGCATAAATATCATGTTTTTGAAAAATACTTCAATAAGTCCTGGGCATATAATTGAAAAAACGTTCAATATAAAAATAATAGTATGCTCTCCATATTTTAATGCATCTTCAAATTTGTGCACACACATGTAGCGGTTTGTGCTGTCTGGTCTGTTTCAACTCCTAGTGGCCCTGTGGGACAGCACGGAACTGTAGCAGAGGCTTCCCGGCCCGTCGGCCTCACGGGAGCAGAGCAGTAGGTCTTCTCACTCGTGCAACTGCTGATGGGTTCAAAGCACGACCTGGGAGAGCCCTTTGGTGACAGCAACGCTTGTGCCTCGATCACAGTGCTGTCACTGTCGTCTCTGGCCATTTTTATTTGGTTCTTCCGATGTTTCACTGTTGTTTCAGACGCCTCGTTGCTTTGCAGTAAGAGAAGGAGTTTAGCCTTCCATTTACAAAAGTAAGTCACTGATAAGATTTTTTTTTCTTAACTTGTTTCAGGACATGAACATGCTTTTAAATGATGTGATATTAACTGCCATTTCGTTGCCGTTTTGAGCTAGTTCATACCTTGTCAGCATCTAGTATGTTTTTGGACATTTAAGCAACTCAGCCAAACATCCTTTACTGTGCCTGTTTTTGATTTGTACCACAGGGCAAAGTCTTCTACAAAGTTCGATGGAAAGGGTACACCTCACTTGATGACACCTGGGAGCCCGAGGTTCATCTTGAGAACTGTAAAGAAGTGCTGCTTGACTTTAGAAAGACTATTGCCGACAACAAAGCTAAGCCAGTCAGCTGGTTTATTCAGGTATCCTGTGTTATCTAATTTCTTATGTTGAGTATTTCTGCTTGTTAAAATGAATAAACCAGTGATGTATGTTACATTGTAAAGTGATACATTTGAATCCGTTTCAGATTATTCAAAGGCTAGTTAACCAGATCTTTGATTTCTTCCTTTGTTCTCAATGCAATCATTAGTGACCTCACTGAGTTTGAGTAATTCTTCTTGATGGTAAGCAAGAGTAAATAGAGCAGAGTAACCCAGATAAGTCAAAACTTCTGTTGTCAGCAGTTTGGAAAGAGATTTCATAGTGGGCTAGACTGTAGTAATGTGAAAATTAACCTGCATATTTGCCTTTAGGGTATTCCTCTATGGATTTTTCTTTCTTTTT